ACGGGAAAAATTCCCGGATTTCACCTTTTCCCAAAAGTTTTTGGGGATTTTGGGGGGATTTTTGTTAAAAAACCCTAAAAAACCCCTTAAAAATTCCCAAAAAACTCCCAAAATGCCCCAAAAATTCCCCCAAAATTCCCCAAAATTCCCCCAAAATCCCCCCAAAAATGCCCCAAATTTCCCCCAAATTTCTCCCACCGGCTCTCCTGGAGCAGCGCCTCCTTCTCCTCCTGAAGCCGGAGAAAACTGGGGAAAAAACAGGGAAAAATGGGCAAAAAAAAATGGGAAAAACGGACAAAAATGGGGGGAAAGGAGGAAAAAAAATAGGCAAAAAAATGATGGGAAAACCCCCCAAATGTTCCCAAAATTCTCACCTTTCCCGCTGTTCCCGCAGCTCCTCCGTCAGCTGGGAAATTTGGGGTGGGGGACACAAAATTGGGGAGGGGGGAAAAGCTTGGACCCCCCCAAATCCCAAAAGTTTTCCCCCCCAGGACCGAAATCTTCCCCAAATTCCCCCTTGGAGCCCCCAAAATCCCCCCCAGGAGATCCCAAATCCTTCTGGGATCCAAATCCTGGAGAATTTTATGTCCAGGAGGCTCCAAAAAAGCTCAAATCCCACCCAAATATTTCCCAAGTCTCCTAAAATCAGCTCAAATTATCTGAAAAAAACCCAAATCTCCCTCAAGAGCCCCCAAAAAAACCCAAATCCTCCTCAGAGCTCCCCAAAAAACTCAAATTCCACCCAAATCCCACCCAAATCTTCCCAAATCCTCCCAAAAAAAAACCAAAATTCCTTTTCAGAGCCCCCCAAAAAAATCAAATCCCACCCAAATCCCACCTAAGAAACCCCAAATCCCCCCTCAGAACCCTCAAAAAACCTCAAATCCCACCCAAATCCTCCCAAAATAACCCAAATTCCTCTTCAGAGCCCCCCAAAAAGCCCAAATCCTCCCCAAAAAATCCCAAATCCTCCCAAAGAAACCCCAAATCCCCCCTGAGAACCCTCAAAAAAACCTCAAATCCCACCCAAATCCTCCCAAAAAACCCCAAATCTCCCCCCAAAAAATGCAAATCCCCCCAAAAAACCCAAATCTCCCCAAAAAAACCCCAAATCTCCCCAAAAAAACCCCAAATCCCCCCAAAAAAACCCCAAATCTCCCCAAAAAAACCCCAAATCTCCCCAAATTTCTCCCCCCTCACCTTGGCCACCTCCTCCTGCAGCTGAGCCAGCTCTGCCTGCAAGGGACCCCTGTGAGACCCCTCCCCAAAATTCCATCTCCCCCCTCCCCAAATCCCCCCCAAAAATCCCCTTTTTATTTTATTTTTATTTTATTTTTATTTTATTTTTATTTTATTTTTTACTTTATTTTTCTTATTTTTATCTTATTTTTATTTTGATTTTTATTCTATTTTTTATCTATATTTTACTTTATTTTTATCTTACTCTTATTTTTATTCTTATTTTTTTATTTTATTTTGATGTTTTTTTATTTCTTTTTATTTTATTTTTTATTTTATTTTTATCTCATTTTTATTTTATTTTTATCTCATTTTTATTTTTATTTGATTTTTATTATTTTTTTCATTTTATCTTTTATTTTATTTTTATTCTTATTATTACTTTTATTTCATTTTTATCTTATTTTATTTTTATTTCATTTTTATCTTACTTTATGTTTTATTTCAATTATATTTCATTTTAATTTTATTTTCATTTTATTTTTATCTT